AGCAAGTCGTTATGTATTCTGTGTCTACCTTCTATAGCTATGGTAACGTGTTATACACTTGTAGGTTGAGCCAAGATGTAGGGCAGGAATCAGTCATTGCATGGAAACAAAGAAAAACTGGTTCTTTCCAGGGCAATGAAATATTTCACTGAGTTGATTTCATGCTTCTAATAAAACTCATGGATCGCATAGGACAGCCTCTCGACAATAAAACTGTACCGAAATCAAAGGCGGATACCTGCAGAAAGAGCTCGTGAACATCAGAAGAGGTCTGGCAGGTAGGAGAGGTGCTGAGCTCTCAAGCTGCTGCGGGGAATTCAGGCAAAGATTTATGACTACAATGAAGAATGTAGATACAGGGTTGAGGGAAGGTGGAGCAGGCAGGCTCCATTTGGAGCTCTATCCAACAGGCCACCCACCTAAGATCTAACTCCTCAGCTCCCCCTGCACCTCCCCACTGCCATCACCAACAACGTCTTGCTTTCTACATCTGCTACTGGATCCCACACCCTCCAGTCCCAGGCTGCTAACTTCAAGGTGAACTTTCACTCCTCTGTAACCACAGCCTTATCAGTTGACAAGTTTTAGTGTATCTATTCAGCAATGTCTGTAATCTGTGGCCACTGTTCCCATACCATGATCTACCAGGTATTTAAGAGCATACAGACACACCCTGCCCTCTGCCTCTTACAGCCTGTGTGATCTGGAGGGTTACCTCCACTCTTTAAGACCTTCTCCCATCTCTAAAATGGAAGTGATTCTAAAACAGAATTGTGAAGATGAAATGAGATAATATATTGATCTTGATCTTATCCTTATCCACAGCACACTCACTCAGGAAGATTGAAGATTAAATAAACAGCAGCACTCTATGTCTTTGTTCAAGCTCTTTTTTTTTTTTTTTTTTTTTTTTTTTTTTTTAGTGCTATAGGGTGTGTGCCCTCGCCAGAAAGACAGAGACATAGAGAGACAGAAAGTGAGAAATCACCCCCCAGGGGGGGATCGCCATGCCACAATCCCTTCTCCTCCATTCTCCTCTCAGGATCTTGGGCACGCATGCACACGTGCCCGGCATGAGTTTAAGCCACCGGGTCCAGGAATCGAACCGCAGTTGACTATATGGGATTCCAGCGACATAGCCATTATGCCAACTGCTGGTCCCTGTTCAAGCTCTTCTGACACCCTGCCTGGACTATTCCAGTGGCACTTTATTAATCTTTCCCCCCTCTTCCCATCAACCATTAAAAGGATGTGGTCAGAGAAACTAACACAGCTCCTGCGGCAGCTCTTTAAGGCTTCAGTGGTCTGTAAATGTCAGTCTTTATTCCTCACCAGGGTATTTAAAGCTCTCCTTATCTTTGCAGTCAGACTTTCACACCTTCCTGGCTCAATCTGAAAGACCACAAGTTGTTGTTTTGTTTTGTTTTTCTGAGAGATTTTTGCTAAAGGATATGTGCGCTCACTAGAGAGACAGAGAGACAGAAAGTGGGCAATCATCCCCTTGGGGGATGGCCACACCACAATCCTTTCCCTTCCATTCTCCTCTTGGGATATTGGGCATGCATACACATGCACCTGGCATGAGTTTCAAGTCTCTGGGTCCGGGACTTGAACTGCAGTCAACTGTGTGGGAGTCCAGTGACATAACCATTACACCATCTGCTGGTCCCAAGACCACAAGTTTTTAAAATATGCCCCTGATTTTTTAATCATTGTGCCTTTGCCCCTTCTGCCCAGAAATCCCTATTCCCCACGGACCACAATCGTACCTAAAAAACTAATAATCACTTTCCCTGAGGTGTCCTTCTAGGAATGATCTTGTCTTTCATCAAGCTCTACATAGCCTCAGTAAGATATTTAACCTTTCTAAGGCTCCAAGGGTGATGAAAACAATAAATGAGATCATGCATATGAAGAGCTTGGCAGAGTAAGTGGTCAAGAAATGTAATCTGGTAGGCCTAACAGCAGCGGTGGTGGCAGCAGCTGCTCATGGGACGTTAAGTATAGGTCCACTCATCGCAAGAAAGAGGTGCTGGGTCTAATCCAGAGAACACCCAAACTCTGTACTTAACACCTCACAAGTGCTCAGGAAGTGTTAGCATAATAAAAATACTAATGACCATCAAAGCCTTTAGTTCATTCTACCTCACACTGCATTTATTTGTAAATAAATCTGGTACTAAATTGAGAGTTTTTGAGAACTGAGAACTGTGTTTTATTTGTTTTTATTTTCCCCATGGAGATAACAGCCCACCAGTACACCGTAGAGTCTTTACAAGTGCATGACCCGTGACAAACAGATGTGACAATTGCAGCGTGGTCTAGAAAACAGTGGGAAGCCAAGACCCAGGTGAACAAAACTCACAGAAAAATCTGGTACTAAATTGAGAGTTTTTGAGAACTGAGAACTGTGTTTTATTTGTTTTTATTTTCCCCATGGAGATAACAGCCCACCAGTACACCGTAGAGTCTTTACAAGTGCATGACCCGTGACAAACAGATGTGACAATTGCAGCGTGGTCTAGAAAACAGTGGGAAGCCAAGACCCTGGTGAACAAAACTCCCAGAACCAGGGACCAGCAGGTGGCGTGGTGGTTAAGGCATTGGACACTTCCACATGACCAACCACGGTTCAAGTCCTGGACCTGGTGGCTTGCTTTCTCACTCTCTCTCTCTCTCTCTCTTTCTGTGTGTGTGTGTCTCTCTCTGGTCAAATGAAAACAAATGAATAAATAAAGTTAAATAAAATAACTCTTTAAAAAAAAAAAGAAAATTTCCAGAACCCCAGCATTTGGGAGTGCAGTGAATTAATTGGTGGAGGGGATCTTTCACTAAAACAGTATCCTAGGGAGGCCAACAGGTAGTGCAGTGGTTAAGGCTCTGTGCTCCCACACGGCTGGACCACAGCTCAAGTCCCAGACCTGGCGGCTTGCTTTCTCTTTTTCTCTCACACCTCTCTCTGGTAAGCACTCATGCCCTATAGCAAAATTTTAAAAATTATTATAAAACGAATAATTTTTTTAAAAAGTGTCCTAAGAATTGAGAAGAGAGTTTGCGAGAATGCAGGAGTAAGCTTGAGTTCATATTAAGATCAAAAGGAAAAAAAAGTGAAAATAGCGATATCTTTGTTAAGACAATTTCTTTTCTTTCTTTTTTTTTTTTTTTTTGGAGAGGGTTTTTTTCTATAGGGTACATGCACTCGCCAGAAAAGGCAGAGAGAGACAGAGAGACAGAAAGTGAGAAATCAACTTCCAGGGGGGGATGGCCATGCCGCAATCCCTTCTCCTCCATTCTCCCCTCAGGATCTTGGGTACGCACGCATATGTGCCCGGCATGAGTTTCAAGCCACCGGGTCCGGGACTCGAACCGTGGTCGACTACATGGGTGTCCAGCGAGATAGCCATTTTGCTAACTGCTGGTCCTCAAGACAATTTCTTTTTCATTTTAACTGGGTGGCAGCTTATATGCTGATAAAGCAACACTCTCGTGCTTAAACCTAGTATCGCCTAGGTCTGGAAAATAAACTCAACAATTCTAATTTGTCACATCCTGTTTTATCAGTCTATTTTCTCATCTGATTCCTCACTCAACTCTGTCTACAACAACTGAAAGATGGTTGACTCATATCACATGATCATTTTTTAAAAAATCTCCAGAGGGCACATGCACTCACCAAAGAAAAAATAGAGAAAGCACCCTCTTAATGAGGTATGGTCATACTGCAAGTCACTGCTGGGATTTGGGACATTCACACACATGTGCTCACCATGTTTTTCAAGCTGCCAGGGCTTGATTCAAACTATGAGTCAGCCATGTGGGATCTGGCTGTCTTAACTTGTCTGAACTAAAGGTCAAGCATTCCAAGGGACAAAAGCAAAGTTCTAATCCTACAGAAACTAGTTCTTTATCTATTATAATCATTTTGATATTGTTATAGAATAAAAGATATGAAAAAAAAAACAACACCAATCCCAATATATTTATTTTAGGATTGCAAATGTTGAAGGTGGATCACCCCACGGCATGGTGGTTAAAGTGACTGGATTCCAGATGGCAAGCTGCCTGATTCAACTTCTGGACCCATGGCTTCATAAACACGTAGGGCATGTGTGCATGGATACTCAGAATCCCACCGAGAGAAATGGAGGAGAAAGGATTATGACATGGCCATCCCATACAGGGTGATTTCTTCCTCTCTCTCTCCAGAGAATGGATCTGCCCTCCAGCAAGTTAAAAACAAAAAAGAAAATGTTGACAGTTTATAAAAATGGATAAAGGAATATAAAACATTCATTTACCATTTCCAATAGTCACACTTAAAACATACTCTTTTTTTTTTTGGAGAGGTTTTTGCTATAGGGTGCATGTGCTCTCCAGAAAGACAGAAAGAGATAGATAGAAAGCGAGAAATCACCCCCCGGGGGGATGACCACGCGGCAATCTCTTCTCCATTCTCCCGAGAGGCACACATGCCTGGTGTGAGTTTAAGCCACTTGAACCATGGTCGGCTACATGGGAGTTCAGCAACATAGCAATTACACTAACTGCTGCTCCCACTTAAAACATACTCTTAAAATTGATATGAGTAACTTATATTTCATATAATGGAACAAGTCTTAAACCAAATGATGGTTCTGGAATCAGAAATTAATGTAAAATTATTTGGACACATAGACACAACTGCATAGGATCAAAAAAGTAGAGTAAATTGAAAGCTCTGAAGCTATAGGCTAGATGGTGTTCAGTCTTGCCTATTTTGGGTAACATTTTAAAAGGATGCCTATTTCAAGAACATTTACAGGTCTTATTTTTAAAATGCCAGACCATCAGCTTCTTAATTAAGAAATCAATTACTGATGAAGTCTTAGTTAGGAAACAGGAAAGAGGAAAGAGTAAGTGAAATGCTCATGCTAAGCTGTCAATGAAAGCAACACATTTAAAATATATTCATATGCATACACACACACATACATATAATGGAAAAATTAACCCGACTGTACCTTTTCTTCCAGCCTTTGTGAGAGAAAAAGGATAGCACCATCAAAAGCTTTTGCTCTGTTGGAAAATTCACTATGACCATAAAGCAAAGCAATTCTCAGCCTTCTGGATGCTAAATCAGGACTAAATGTTACATGATACTGGAACAGCTGCCAGTCCTGGGGCAAATCTAACTTGAAGAGATTCGTAACCAGTTTCACAGGTATTCCACTGGAACCTGAAGAAAACAAATAAAGAAAAAAAAATTTTTTTAACCAAAATTTAAAAATCACACCATGTTACTATTAACCATATCATTTAAGTTTGTGTTTGCACATGCATAGTAGTTGCTTAAAGCGAGGTTATTTGCTCTGTGACATAAACTAACGGCAGCCTGATGACACCACTGGGAGTCAAAATAGGATACTGTGTGAAGTGGATCTCATAAAACATAAAAGCAGATATGGACATTCTTGTCCTTGGGAAAGGAGAAACATCTGGATTCAGCTACTCCCGGACTCCTTCCTAAGCTCACTTTCCAGCAGTCATGGCAGTTCCGAGCATCTCAGGAATGGTTCAGGTGCTGCTCTGAAATGGTGCTGCTCTCACATTATAAAGTTCTTCCCAGGAATACGACCCCCAATCTTTGGGAAATTCAGAGAATCACATTTAAGGACACTTCTGACAAAGTTCCCTCTGTGGTTAGACGGCTATACAAGTCCCGAAGAAGCCCCTCGGAAGCTGAGAGCAGGGCTGGGGAGAAGGGAAGGACTTCTATCTACCCTTTGTGAAGACAGACACGGCCTCTGGCTCTCTGTTCTCTGCAGGCACATGGAGGCCATGTGTGCTTCCAGGATTCCAACTCCCTATAGAAATTTTATTCCCCTCTCTCTATCTCTTTTTTTTTTTTTTTAATTTAAGAGAGATTTTTGCTATAGGGCACGTACACTCACTGGAGAGACAGAGAAACAGAAAGAGAGAAATCACCGCCCCCCCAGGGAAGATGGCCACACCACAATCCTGTGTTCTCTATTCCCCTCTCAAGATCTTGGGCACACATGCACACATGTCTGGCATGAGTTTTAAGCCGCTAAGTCCAGGACTAAAATCACAGTGGGATCCAACTCCCAGGACACAGTGCTTAACTACTGTGCTCTGAGACCAGCACATGAGATGTGGTTTGGGGAAGATAGTATTATGTCTACCAATAAAAGAGAAAATGCTTAAAATATAACAAAATAAACAAAAAATAAACCTAGTATCTGAACAATGCCTTGATCATGGCAGATAGTAAATTCCCAAGTGACTATATGAACTTGTTTATTTTAGACCTAGATATTGATATTCTTAAAGCAAGATTTAGCAACACTTAAAAACTAATGCATATTTAGACTGGTTACCGGTTTTACACTCTCTCACATGTGCCAATTTCTCTCTGGTACAGATCTCCAAATCTGTGAAGCGCTGCTGGATTTTCACATCTCTTTTCACGAAGGTACTTTCACTTTCAACACCTCCAGAAGATACATCATCTGTCTCTAAAACACGAAGAAAACACAGTAACAGCTCCTAGTCCATTCTAGTGAATGGAGATAGGGTCTTTAAAGAAGGGGTTAAGTTAAAGTGAGGTTTTAAAGGTGGTCCTTAATTCAATATAACTGATATCTTCAAAAGAGGAGTTAAAACAAAGAAATGCACGGAGAAAGTTCACATGAACCCAGGGAGATGGTAGCCATGTACAAGCCAAGGATGAGACCTCTCAAGAAACCAACACAGCTGACATCTTGATCACAGAACTCAGGTTTCAGAACCGTGATAAAATAGGTTTATATGTTTTTGTCTTGTTTTTAATAATTACTTTATTTAACTTTATTTATCCATTTATTTATTTATTTTAATTTGACTAGAGAGGGACAGAGAGAGAAAGTGAGAGAGTTAGAGAGAGAGAGAAAGTGAGAAAGCAAGCCGCCAGGTGCAGGACCTGAACCACAGTTGGTCATGTGGGAGTCCAGCGTCCTTAACCACCATGCCACCTGCTGACCCATTTTGTTTTTTTAAGAGAGATTTTTGCAATAGAGTGCATGCGCTCACCTGAGAGATGGAGAGATAGAAACCAAGAAATCATTCCCCTGGGGAAATGGCCACACCGCAATCCCTTCACCTCCACTCTCTCATGACTTTGGGCATACACACACACACACACACACACACACACACACATGCACCTGGCGTGAGTTTTAAGCCACCTGGTCCAGGACTCGAACCACAGCTGACCACTTGAGAGTCCAGCAATTTAACCATTATGCCATCTGCTGGTCCTGAGGTCTATATTATTTAAACCACCTACTCTGTGCTATTTTGTTTCAGCAGCCCGAACAAATGTGTACACTGGGTATGCCCGCTCACGCTGTGGTGAGAAGCTACTCAGCGTAGCAGGTTGGTTTTCAGGGAAGAGAGCTACCATCAAAAGATGATGCTGTGGAAGGCCACATATTAGAGCTTGCACATGAACAACTGTTTGTCCATTTTGTTCCCTTACCCTAACATGGCTGTCTGCTTCTGTAAACCTGCTTGCTCTTTCCATGAGAAAATAGCTTGTGCTAGCCATACAGAAAACCGCATTCACGACCACATCCTATACCTGCTACTGTCTTTGCTAACTAGCCGGAAACCCTTCTGTTTAACAATGTAACTGCTTGCATGGAAACCCCACTCTTCTCAGAAATAATTAACCTGCTTGATTCAGCTTCTGTAACTGCTTGCATAGAAACCCCTGGTAACTGACCCCCTATAAAAAAAACTGCTCAAACTTCGGTTGGGCCTACAGTTCTGACTCTTGGCCCCCGAGCCTCACACTGTAGTCACTGGTCAGCTAATAAAGGCTCCCTTCAACCTTAATCTGGCTTTGGTGGTTGTTCATTCAGTGCCACTCTACAACAATGTCTACTGCAGGTGGGGAAGGAAGAAGAGAGCTGTGGTCCCACATGTGCCAGGCTTCTGTCATCCCTGCAAGACACTGGCATTTATACACTGTAAAACAATTGTCAAAAAAATTTTTCCAAGTTCTGGGAACCAGCAGTTAGTGTAATGGCTATGTCGCTGGACTTCCACGTAGTCGACCGCGGTTCAAGTCCCGGACCCGGTGACTTAAAACTCACACCGGGCGCGTGTGCGTGCATGTCCAAGATCCCGAGAGGAGAATGGAGGAGAAGGGACTGCAGCATGACCATCCCCCCCGGGGGGTGATTTCTTGCTTTCTGTCTCTATGTCTCTCTCTGTCTGGCGAGCGCACGCGCCCTTCAGCGAAAACCTCTCCAAAAAAAAGAAAAAAATTTTTTTTCCAAGTTCTTCAGTGAACAGAAAGAATCAGAAAACTGGCTTCCTAGTGTCCATGAATTTCCATTTCCAAAGCACTGTCAGAAACCAGCAGCTGACTCTGTGTTTGCGAATCCCAGAGGAATGTGACACAGGGGCACCCAGCAAAAAAAAAAGGTAAATGAGATAGAAGATGGAGAAGTGAGCCTGCTGCTGGAAGGGTTACAGAGTCGCTCCTGTTCCATTCAGAGGGAAGGGGGTTAAGTGGAACACGCTGGCTGTACTTACGTTTCTGTGAAATCCCGCTTGTTCCCACGAAGCCACTACTAGATGATGATTCACTGTCTTCAAGATCGACAGATGTGGGCTAAAGCGGAAAAAAAGTTTGGTTCCGATTTAAGATGTTAAGCCACAAACTAAAAGGTCACCGCGAGGTGAGAACGGTCTCCTGTCCTAAGTCATTAGATTGGCGTGAGCTACAAAAGAAAGCGTTACAAGGCAAAACCCTTGAAGGGTGAGAGGAGAGTGGCCACTCCAGGAAACAAGATAAGGACAAAGGGCAGTTTCCCCTGTCATCCAAGACTGATTTTAGTACTGACCATGAGCTAGACGCAAGGCTGGGCCCTGGAGGTGTGAGCAGGCAGAGTTGTGACCCCGGCGGAAGGAGCTCATCGGAGGATACAGAAACTTCCACAGCCCGTGGATAGGAGAACACACCGAACCCAAAGACCTAGGTCACCAGCTCAGAAGAGGTCACTCCCTGAACACACTGGGCTAAGATAGTTCATAAAACAAGTGGAGAGAACCATTCATAGTTTCTCCTTTGACAATAACTACTTCTCTTTGTTTGAGAAATTACTGTATCTTGGCCTGCTCAAAAATGAGCAACATCAAGAGAAGACCATTCAGAAGCAGAGAGGCCTAGGGACCGCAGACTACTCGGCTGAGAACTTTCTTGGTCTCAGAGTTGCTCTGAGTTCTAGGGGGTACGGAGTTATACATCATCCTGAAATTACTCATCTGAGGGTCAGTTCAACGGGTTGCCTCAGTCCAGTAAGGAGCTCTCCCCATAGTAGCTGCTGAAGTTACATAGCTCAATCTAAACTGTGCCTGTACTCTAGGCGACCTTTTTAAATATACCAGTTGGCAAGACACAGAGTATTCCGTTCTATGCCCTCTACAGCATGGAGGTACAGTTTACTACATGACTCAGAGCCGAATCAAGGAACTACAACTCAGAAAGTAGAAGAGAATGAACACCTGCCTCCATTGTCCAGTCTTCTGGACAGGCTACACATACATACCCACATTAATCTCTTACTCGGCTAAGATTGCTAGAAGGAAAAAAGAAGTGTGAGAAACCATGGAAAGGCTCCAGGTTGAGAAAAGGTAACACTAGGTCCTATCAGAGAGAAGATACAACCCACAGAGAAAAGTGTGTCCACGCTGGAGGCGGAGGTAGGAGCGAAGAAAAGAAAGGACACCAGCTAAGGATTCTACGCACCGGCGGCAAGGCCTGGGGACGCCCCACTTCTGTGGCACTGGGTCTAGGGGCGATGCCCCGAGCCCTCACGCGGGCCCGACCACTCATGTCCTCAAGGAGTCTGGAGTGGCTCTCAATTAGGGTGTTTTTTTGTTTTTGTTTTTGCCTATTGATGGTGAGGCCAACTTGGCAGCGGGGGGGAACCAGCCTCTACCGCAGCAGATGAAAACGCAACTGAGGCTTGTGTGTGGGCGGAGAAGGCGATGGGACGCCGCCCCCACACACATGGGGCTGTGGGGGTGGTGAGAAAGCACGAGGTCCAGGAGGGGCGGGGCTCAGGCCTCCCTTTTCTTTCCATCGCCCCTCACCCCCCAATATTTGCCATTATAAAAAAAATTGCTGGATTTGACTACATCAAAATTTAACATTTTGGAGAGGAGAGAGGATATGTTGGTTAATAACTACAGAATTACAGCTAGCTAAGAGTAAATACCAGTGTCCTCTAGCCCACTAGGGTGACTACAGATAACAATGCTTTTTTTTTTTTTTTCCTTACAGGGTACGTGCTCTTTTAAGAGAGAGAGAGAGAAAGAGAGAGATCACTGCCCCCTCGCCCCCAGGGCGCGACCACACTGCAATCCTTTCTCCTCCATTTTCTTCTCAGGATTTTGGACACCAGTGCACATGTGCATGGTGTGTTTTTCAGGTAAACGTGTCTGAGAGTCACAGTGCACAGTTGGCCGTGTGGGATTCAGCTGCCTTAATCACTGCCACTGGCTGACTCAAGGGCCAGTCTTATATTTTTTTAGGTTTTGCCATAGGGCATGTGCGTTTGCAGAGGGAGACAGAGGTGAAGTGAGAAATCACCCCTCAGGGGGATGGCCACACGGTGATCCCTTCTCCTCCCTCTGGTCTCAGGATTTGGGGCACACACACCACCTGCCCCTGGTGTGATTTTCAGGCCACTGGGTCTGGGACTCCAACTACGGTTCGCAATGTGGGAGTCCAGTGCCTTACTGCAATGCCATCTGCTGGCCTGGAGCCAGCTTTTTAAATCACCTAATCTCAAAAGTTTCAGATTTCACTCCTCCCATATTCTGTTCATTAGAAGTGAGTCACTAAATCAGACCAAACTCAAGGAGAGTTCATGACAGCATGGGTACCAAAGCAGGGACTAATGGGAATTTGCTTAGAGGCTGCCTGCCACATGGCTTGAATGGAGGATGAAACATGGAAAAACATCTGTATGTAAAGCATGCTGCATACAGCTGGAAGCTTAATAAATAACAAATATTAGTGAGCTATGACTTATGTTTTAAAAAAAAAATCATATAAAAACAGATGGGAGCCTGCAGGTGGCAAGGTGGTTAAGGGGCTGGATTCAATATGGCCGATTCTGGGGTTCGAGCCCTGAACCTGGTAGCTTGAAAAACATGTCAGACACATGTGCATGCATGTCCAAAATCCCAAGAGGCAAATGGAGGAGAGGGAATGCAGTGTGGCTATCCCCCCCGGGGGGTGATTTCTCACTTTCCCTCTCTCTGTCTCTCTCAGGTGAGTGCACGCACCCTGTGACAAAATTCTAAGTAAGTGTCCTTCCCAGAGAAGCCTTGATAACCATAATGCATCTAAAGGTATTACTGTTTGATCACCATGATGATTGTAAATGGATGTTACAACTAATGGAACAGAGCTCTCAAAATGTTTACCTAACATTAAGGAAATGAGAAAAATCATAGGGTAAGGGCAGGTGTTTCCTGTTGCTAGGAGAGCAAAATCCCAATAGAGATGAATCATTCTAGTGATGCTTAGTAATGACATTTATTTTTAACTGTAGTTGTAGTGAAAGCCACCAGGTACATAACATTTTGAGAGCAGAGGATGCAATTCTTCTATTTTTCAGAAATAGCCTTAAGAAGACTTAGTTTATGATGAACAAAGTTTACTCCTGAAGTATAATGCTCTGATGACGAAGAGTGTTGAAATTCTGTGATCCTACACACAATCATACCGTTGTTGTGACACCAATCCTGTACTGGGATTACTGTCTGTCTGTTTCCCCTGCTGAAACTCGGCTTGTACGAGTGCAGAGTCTTGCCTTAGTTGTATTCATATCCTCATGTCCTAGCAGAGTACCTGCAGACAGAAGGCACTCAAGAAATGTTTAAATATTTTTGAACAGTCTTGTTTCTCCCCCTTTATAAAAATAACTCAGATTAAGGTGCTGAGCACTCATAGTCTAATTTTTTTTTTCTTTTTTGTACTAACAGCCCTCGTTTTAAAAGTCCTGGAAATTGTGTGTTATGAAAAAAAGTGCAAAAATTCCAGAACATTTTTCACCAAAATAAACCTAGATTTTAAATCCATTTTCCCACAGAGTTTTTAAAGTCCCCTCATATATTAAGTGAGATTCAGTAATTTGAAAAACAATGTTATTTCTTTTATATATATATATATAGGTTTTTTTTGAGAGGTTTTTGCTATAGGGCACATGTGCTCTCCAGAAAGACAGAAAGACAAAAAGCGAAAAATCACCTCCTGGGGGGGATGGCAACGCCACAATCCCTTCTCCTCCATTCTCCCCTCGGGATCCTGGGCATGCATGCACACGCACCTGGTGTGAGTTTAAGCCACCGGGTCTGGGACTCGATCCACAGTCAGCTACATGGGAGTTCAGTGACATAGCCATTACACTAACTGCTAGTCCCAAGAACAATGTTATTTCAAAGGTCTCAAGATGTCATAAAGATCCATTTTTGAAATGATGTGAAGTGGTTTTATAATACATTTCTATAGGAAACTAAACAGCATATTAAATATGCGGAGTCCATGGTTTCCTCTGTCTTTTCTTTAAAAGAGTAAATAGGTGACTCTGACTAAATAAAAAATAGATTTCTTTAAAAGTGGATGTTGAGTACAGATGAAATATGCTGACTAGGGATGAAAATGACTTAAATATGATTTTTTCCCCAAGAAAAAAGCAGCATTCCTAAGAGTTCGAGAATCTGCTGTAATGAATCAAGGGGCCGTTCTACATTTCCACTAAAATGTTAGTTTATTCCTTAAGTTCCTGACTCCCCTTGTCAGTGAGTTCAGACTTCTTCATTTCATTCTGCACTTGCCACAGATGGTGCATGTCAAGCTGGAACAAAGATTTCTTTACAACAAAGGGCATTGAATGGTGGGCTTCAAACTATTCATTCTTTCTCTCCCTCCCTTATCCTGCCTGTTAGTGCCCTTTAACCCTCACCTTTCCCCTGCTTTTCTCATGTCGTCTTCTCTCTCCCTCTTCTCTTATCTCACTTTTTCTTCTCTTTGTACTCATTTGTCCCAATGACTTTCTTTTATTCTCCTTTTCACTTCCTATCTATATTCACCACCTGCTCTATTTTATTGTTTACTTAGTTTAGAATCTGGGTGGTGGCGTGTCACCTGGGTTGGCCTTGAACTCCCAATTGTCCCGCCTAGGCCTCCTGAACAACTGGATTAGGCTTGGTGCCACTGCCACTACGCCCAGCACCTGCTCTATTTTATTGGGCTGTCAGAAAAGTCATGACATATCTTTGTTTTCTATGCAAAAAATGTGTCATGGCTTTTCTGACAACTCAATAAAAATCACAGTTATATTCCTTCATTATTGATTATTGATTTATTGATTTGTGCCAGTCCTGCTCTGATCCTTAGCTGGCCATCATGATTTTTCCTTTTCTCTCTCTCTCTCTTTCTCTTTTGGCTAGAGGGTATGTGTGGTCACCAGAGAGAGAAAGAGAGAGGGAGAGGAGAAAGCATACCCCATGATCATACCACAATCCCTTCTCCTCCATCTCTTTCTCCTTTCAGGATTTTGCACATGCACGTACTCACCCAATGTGTTCTCAAGCTGCTGGGTCCAGGATCAGCCACGTTGTATCTGACTGCCTTAACCATCAGATCATGGAGCCACCCCACTATTTTCCAAAATTGGCGCTTCAGTGAGCATGTCAGTATGTATGTGCTGCAGGAAGGCGGATAGAGAAGAAGAGAAAATATATCCAGTGTCTATACTAACTTCATATTTCCCCTCTGATAACTCGAGCACCAGCTATTAAGAAGAAAGCATGCCTCCCCTGCGCTCTGCCCACCATTGTGTTCTCAGCCTTTATTCCATCTCTTTTAAAAAGGGCGTTCTTTAATTTTGTGAATAGAGGCTAACGACACAGAAGGGTTGAGAGCGCCAGTAAAATGAACTGGACAGAGAAAAAGGAGCACAGCATTTATGGCCTCAGAGATGACTCGCTGGTAAGAATGAGCAACAGGACAAGCCGACCTGGACCTGGTACAACTCAGAAGATTCAAAGCCATCATATTTCAATCACTATGCTGGACTTAATGACCTTATAGAACCTGTCCCTGACCAAAAAATAACCGTGTACCACCATGATTGAAAACAGTGCACGAGGATAGACATTATAAACAAGGAGTCGTTTTCCATCTCATTAATCATTTTGTCAAAATAATCTGAACACATATACATAAATATGTAATTTGTTAAAATAACGTGTAGCATAAAAGTCCCTGAGACACATCCAAGAATGATTTTAAATGCAGTCAATGCAATTATTCACCAAACTAATTGCCAAGAAGCTGATTCTTCTCCCTTATATCTGAGGCATATGATGTGTGTGTGTGTGTGTGTGTGTGTGTGTGTGTGTGTGAGAGAGAGAGAGAGAGGGGTCTTTAAAGTTTATGGGATAATGTGTATAGTGAAAAAAAAATTTTTTTACACCAAAAATAAACTCATTCTTTTTTCCTTTTTTTTTAGAATTATTAATTTATTTAATTCCATTTGTTCTTCTTATTATTTATTTTAAAAATTTGACCAGAGAGAGAGAAAGGGAAAGTGAGAAAGCAAGTCACCAGGTTCAGGACTCAAACCGCGGTCGGTCATGTGGGACTCCAGCACCTTTAACCACCTGCCAGCCCCCAAATCAACTCATTCATTAGGTTTATTTTCCCACAAACTCTTTGAAGTCTTCTTGTGTGTGCATGTGTTTTTTTTGTTAGAAATATTTATTTAATTTTTATTTTATCATTCTTCTATCTGAGCAGACAGAGATAGGGACAGAGAAAGGGAGAGTGAGAAAACACACCTCCAGGTCCAGGACT